ACGTTTTATTGAATAGACAGTATAGGTTTACAAAATGTTGACTTCTTCACCTCCAAAAACTCACGGGAAAAACAGCGATCAGCCAGTAGAGTTTGTTTCTTCTCTTCTCTATTGACACATATCTATACACATAAAACCAGTGAATTAAGGACAAGATTAGTACAATTATAGTGGAAACTGAGGCAATGGAGAGGAGCACCGTTTGGAACGGTTGGAGATCTGAAAATTTTTAGATTTACAAATTTTGAATTTTTTGAATTCCTAATTGTTGGGTACAGAATTAAAGAATAACAAATTTCGAATGTTTTGGAAAAAATCATCAAAATTTGTTGGCTGGAAGCTGAGATATAGGCGTTTGAAGTTTGAAGAGACGCAGAGAAACGAGAGTGCTCTTGTTGTCTGCGTCTCCCAGGCTGTCTCGTAGCTGTTATCTTCCAAGCTCTATATCTCGCTAACCATACTAGCTAGAGAAAAACTTCCGACTACAAAGTTGTCCCACATTTTGTGTAGATTATTTTTGTGGTTGACCAATTTTCTCTATCGTCTGTAATTTTCGACTTACGGCTCAAAAACTCCGGAGCCGATGGGGTGTCGTGTCGATCGGAGCAATTTGATGTGTCTTGTGGGAGCATCACCGATCCAATTAGGTTGAAAACGGATCTCACCGCTCCGTGCTCCTTGACCATTTTTTGGAATTTTTTGAATGTAGCGGTAATTCGAAAATCAAAAAAAGTTTATAAAAAATTAGAAAATTGATAAGAAAAATGATTTAGAAGCATGAGTCATTTTATGATGAAAAAAGAGAATTTTCTGGGTGGGGTCATAACTATATATGGTGACATACTGATAAGCCGTTAACTATATGCAAAAATTGTGTTGCAAAAATGAAAAAAAAAATCAAAAACCAACCAGTTTTGGCTGAAAAATCATACGATTTTTCGGAAAAGTTTTTCTATTTTTGATAATGATTGAAGGGTCATTTTGGGGTGAAATTAGTGGACAGCTGATAAGAACAAAAAAAGTTTTTTTCGGGAAATTCAGAAATTTTGGAAATTAAAAATTTCAGAAGCTAAATGTTTCAGAAATATATTATGGAAACTAAGAAATTGAAAAATTGAAAATTTTAGAACTTTAGAAATTCACGAATTCCGGGAAAGAAATTCAAAAATGATTCATAAAAATAGGGAATTCAGAAAGACAGTTTTTTGGGGAAGGATGAGTCAGATGAATCATATGTCAGACGGTTTGCGAAATGAGCAAATATGGACTTTTGGGGAGGGGGCGAAATGTTTTTTTGAAAATTTGAAATGTTCCAGAAATTTCAAATTTCAAAAAGAAGAAGTTCAACAGTTAAGGAAATTCAGAAAATCAGTTATTCAGTAGTTCAAGATTTCAGAATCTTGGAATCGCAGAATCCCAGAATATCAGTATTTCAGAAATTCAGAAATTTAGAAATTCAGAAATTCGGAAATTCAGAAATTCAGAAATTCAGAAATTCAGAAATTCAGAAATTCAGAAGTTCAGAAACTTAGAAAAACGGAAATTCGAAAATCAGAAATTCAAAAGTTCACAAAATCCTGAAACTCGAAATTCCAAAAAATGTTACATTTCCCAAACTTCTGAAATCAAGCAAAATCTGAAATTTCGTTATTTCAGAATTTGAAGTTTCTACATCACAAAATCCAAAAATGAAAAAAGTAAAAAAAAAACGAAAAAGCTGAAGTTGAAAAATTTTCAAAATTTTCAAATAAAAAATGTCTTCCTAATTTTTTGTCAACAATAAAGTTTTGGCTCCAATCTGGAGCCATTCCAGATGACTCAATTACTGTTATTTTATTATGATTATCGTAGTAAAAGAGCAAATATAGGAATAATTTTTCAGAAATTCAAAAAACTTTTTTGGAAATTCTGGAAAAAAAATCCGAAATTTTTTTCGGAAATCAAAAAAAAGTTTTTTTCAGGAAAAGAAAAGTAAACGGAAGATGAACCAAAAAAAAATTTGTTATTGCTGAGGTGGGGTTGGTAGTGTGAAAAAAATGCGGAAACAGAAAAAATCAGGTGATAAAGTATGGAAAAAAAAGTTTTGGGCGGAAATTTGAAAATTTTTAGTTTCCTGGATATTTTGAGATCAATAATTTTTTTTCTCTGATTTTTTGGGATAATCCAAATTGAATGATCTAGTATTTTTATCTTTTCATATGTAGAGAAATTAAAGAAAAGTGAAAAAGCGGGAAATTCAAAAAAAGAAAAATTTCGATAAGAAATTGTAAAATTTTTTGTAAATTTTTTGCGAAAGGACAGGTTTTTTAAACCCCTATTAAGTTTTCAATAGAGGCAAAAAGAAGATAAGAGAACACATTTTTTTCCAGTCATGCGCCTTTAAAGAAGGGCAAAAAACAGCATGTGTCTTTAAAAGTTCAAAGTTGGTACTACTGTACCAATCTGAAGTCCAATAATTCCAATTCCAATTTGAGCTAGAAAAGCTACAGTAAGTTTAAAGACACATAGACCAGAGCGAAAAAAAAAAACTAAAAACCAAACAAAAACACACTCGATGCAAGTGTTGCATTCATCGCCGTTCCACCTCGGAACGGAAAAACGGTGAGAGAGTATGGAAATCGAAGAGAGTTCGAGAGAAAAAGAAGGGAAAACTGTTCAGAGATAGGGAGAGAGAGAGAGTGTGGGAAATGAGGAGGGTAAAGAGAATTGTACATACACATAGATGAGTCAGAATGGGGGGAAAGAAGTCACAAAAAAACTTGATGACGTGGCAAGTACTACTGTATAAGTCATAGGTAAATATTGGAGTTTGTCATGTTGGTTCAGGTTATTGGTCTTAATTTGGTCTTTTTAATTTATTTTCGAGATAACATAATTTTTGATTCTTCGTTCTTAGTTTAGAAGGCTCATTTGATATTCCAGAACTTTTCTCAAAACCCCATTTTTCCTATTCTTTTTATGATTTGAACCACTAGAAGTCAAAATTTCCGAAATCCAATATCATTTTCAGACTTCTTATACTTGTTACCCCTACCCTGAAAATTTTAGACGTCTAGCTCAAAGTGTCGTAAGATTTGGTGTTACTGTAACTTGGTGTTTGCGGACCATACACCATATCTTACGACACTTTGAGCTAGAGGGCTGAAACTTTCAGGGATGGGGTAAAAAGATATGGCGAATCTAGTAGTGATATTGGTTTCTTGAAATGTCAGAATTGAGAATTCGAAAATAGAACTTTCCGAGAATTTCGCTTATGAAAATTGCCAGATTTCGATTTTTAATGTCAGAGTTTTGAAAAGCTAAGATTATCAGTAGATTCTCCATAACTTGTAACCCTTACCCAAAAATTTTCAGCTCTCTATCTCAAAGTGTCGGAAGATGTAGTGTTACTGAAACTTGGTTTTTGCGGACCAGACACCACAACTTACGACACTCTGAGCTAGAAAACTTAAAAATTACAGAAATATAGAAAAAAAGAACGAGTCATTTTTTGGTAAGGTTCGGTTCAGAATACAGCAGTTTAGGGGTAGTATTAATGAGTTAAAATCCAAAACATATCTAGAGAGCCTAGAATGGAGGGTCCAGAAGAAAGGTCAAGGGTAATTTGGTGCTCCAGAGAAATTTCAAAACTGGATAGTTCGAATTTCAAATTGCAAAGTTGAAGATCAAAAAACATAAACGAACAAAAACGAGCTTGAAAAAAATTGATCAAAAAATTAGAAAAATGATCACAAATCATTCAAAAAAAAATTATGTAAAATCCAGGATTTGTGAGCTATGAGCTTTTATGGAAATTCGAAAAAATCCTAAACTTTGATACCTTAAATCTATATACTTAATTTTTTATTCGTGCATGTACGTATATGAATATTATTTTTCCGTATAAACAACATCCCACAGAAATATATAAAATTGGCTACTCTTTTCTCCAGGAAGAGAGAGAGAGAGAGAGAGAGAGAGAGAGAGAGAGAGAGAGAGAGAGAGAAAGAATAAGAGAAGGTGGTAGAAATTTCCCGTCATTTTGCCCCTCCGACCCCGTGGGGCATGCCGAAAAAAAGGAAAAAAAAAAGATGGGGTCGAAAAGAAGCGAGAGAGTATGAGACTATAGAGACGCAGAGAAAAGAACAAGTTAACTGCTCGCTCTCTTTTTTTTTCCTTGGGATTCGGAGAGCAAATAAATGGGAAACCTGATGGAGTAAAGGGGAAAATTGGTGGATTAGGTAGTTGGGTAAATATTATAGGACATGGGTACACAAATGAAAGTTTTCTTTGTGATTTTGTGACTTTTTTGAGGTTTTTAGTTGCTGAAATTTCTTGTGTTACTGCAAGGACAGAGCCTTGCCAATAAACGGGACCTTAACTTTGACCAGATTTATCATAGTTTCTATAAAAGCAATCAAAAAGTGGTCAACTGATAACATGCTTTTCGTATTATCAGAATTATTTTGTTAGTTGACTGTTTTTGGTATCATTTACAGAAAACAAGATAAATCGGGTCAAAGTTAGAGGGAAGTTATTTAACTATTATCTAGTTATCTAATTAACATTTCCGACACAAAAGGGTCCTCTTACTTTGAACCAATTTATGTAGGTCCCCATAAGAGTTAACAAAAAGTTGTCAACTAACAAAAACGTTATCATATCATAAAAATCATTTTGGTAGTTAACTATTTTTTGGTATTTCTTCCAGGAACCGAAATAAATGGGCACAAATTTGACAGTGAAATACTAGAGTTATTTCCCAGAAATTTTTCCTATCCTCATTCAGGATTCCTGAAGCCAAAAAAAATGCTGACGGAAGAGATAATCCTTCAGAGATTACATATAATATCATCCATGACCTATAAGGTTTCATGTCACGGATAATCTACTAGTAGGATTAGCGGGTTTTGGATTTTTTCGAGTTTTTTATTTTGGAATTTGTTAAAGTTGGGATACTGAGAGGAAGGAGTCTAATAGAAATGTAAAACTTGAGTATTACTTCAGGATAAAGACAGTTCTGAAAGGGCTTGGCTGAAATATGGGAGATCGGAATTGGAAATCTTGAACTTGATCATTTTTACTTTTTTCCGAAAAACGCACAAATCTGAAAGACTGTGATTGAAATTTTGAGCTTTGAAATCAATTTCAAGAACCTCAAAATCCTAAATAATTACCAGAAACCCTCCCCCCCCCCCCCAAAAAAAAAGAGATGATGAAAACGAAGATAAAGACCTAAATCTTAAAAATATGTTATGTTCATTTGCAGTTTTCCGTTAGTCTGGTTATATTGGCTTCCGGATATTTTTCCATCTGCAAAACAGTCAGGGCCCAAATCTGCCACAAAATGAGTTCAGCCGGTTACATACAAACTGAGTTATCGCATCATAAAGTTCAGCAGATACGCAGAGAAGCTAGAATGTCTCGTTGTCTGCGTCTCTATACATTGTTTTGCCAAAAATCCAAGACTTTGAAAAAAGTAAATCAAAAGAAAAAAAAATTAGATTTTCTCCTCATGCTCGGCTACAGTAATCGTTGCTTGTTGAACCACGTAGCTGCCTACTTTTTCGTTCAAATTCGGCGACCGAAACATGTGCTCTTCGTGGTTACGGTACATTTCAGCAGATACTCGTGGTGGTGGGGCGAAATGTTTGAAGCTTCCGGCTTGAAGCTTCCGGAATTTTCAGAAAAGTTTTGGAAGAATGAGAAAAATCATAATCATAGATGCAAAAGCCAGGTTTTAGACCTTCTAGAAACCGA